TAAAACAAGCCCTCGGACACATGCAGTTTACTGCTCTGCATTCCCACCAAAATGGCTTCTTTCCCTGTGGGAATGAGCACTGGGTTGGGAGCCAGGAGATCTTGAGTTACTTTGTCACCTCTTCCACTGAAAGGTCTCACTTCTCTTTGCATCACAATCCCCTCCCCCTTTTTTTTTTGCAAAGCCCCATAGTCCTAGCCTAGGAAAGTAGGCAAATATCATTACTCCCACTATAGATTGTGAAGCTAAGGTTAAGCAAGTCACGCAAGGGCACAGAAAGCTTGGGACAAAGCTGGGAACAGAACCAAGAGCTCTGAAATGAGACACTCGTCTTATTCACTACAATACCTCTTGGAGAAATTCAAATCTAAGTGCTTAGTCATGCTGCCTGGACAATGGGGTTACCCCTGCTGAGCCACCTTTATGTGCTTTAAGATACAGAGGTAAAAAGTGCTATGTCCATGCAGGGTATTAAGCCCATTCTACATGGACAAAAACAGATATAAATGTTGCATGATTTGCAGTGGCTGCACATAGGATTCAGGACTGGGTATTCTGCAGCCAAAGACATTTTCAACAGGTGTTAACTCAGGGATATTTTGTTATTCTAAGGGATATAAAGACATGCATTCGTTAGGACGTCATTGTGAGGACATTGCCAGAATCCTTGGGCCAGGTTGGCCAAGTGAAAGTTGAAGTAAGTGTGTCTTGCCCCCATGGAGACAAACAGTGGGGTCAGTGCAGCAGGTATAGGGTAGTTTGCATGATTTAGCATTCAAGACAAATGTAAAAGAATGCAATGTATGTACCAAGGATTCAAGTCAGGCATCACTATCAGGTGCAGCAATCAGTGAAGTTGCACACCTTTAAATGGGAGAAGAATTCAACCCCAAAGGTTCACACCCATGTTCCTGAGGGCAGAATTGGGCCTCAACAGGACAGAGGTAAGGCCCTCAGGGGGAGATGTAGCAGGAAAAGTAACTGATCGGAAGATTTAAGATACATTTTAAAGCTGCATCCCCCCCAACTTTCTCTTACACTCAGACCATCCTCAGCATTCCCACATGCACTTGATTATGATAGTCATGAACTGGTCCCCACACAATACCAAATACCTGTAAGTTACACTTGTTTTGCACACCCCTTGCATGGCAAATCAGTGCAAGTTACACATCTCTGTGACTTTCAATTGCTTTATGGCCAGCTTGCAGCCCCTGCATAACTCTCACCATCTATTCAATGTGGACTTTGGCTCTAAGGAAACAGAAAGGTCTTCTTCGCTTAATGAATTTCCTACTTCATAAAAATAAAGTAGGAAATTCATTGAGAGGTTTTGGACACAAGCTAAATTACTAGCTGTAGTTGCACTGAAATGAAGGGAATTACTATAGTCATATGGTTATTGTATGGTTTTGCTGAGACAGAGTTTGTGGCCCCAGATTAGATTAAACTGATATTTAAACACAACAGTGGTGTGACTACAAAGCAGAGTTAACGTTGTTTGAGTCTCTAACTCTGCATTTCTGTATCTTAAGGTTAAAGTTAAAACAAATCTCAATGTGTTAATTGCGAATTTCCTCAGTTTAGCATGCTCAGTTTGGGAATAATTATGACACCTAGTAACGTATTTTACCCTAAATTACTGATACCCTAAGGCTATGATTCTGTCATGGAAGTCACGGATTCCATCCTTTTCCAGGACCTCTGGGACTTCATCTGGGTCAGGGCTGGAGCAGCTGTTAGCCCCAGGGCCACCAGAACAGCTGACCAGCGGCCAGCCCCAGGGCCATTGGGGCAGCAGTCCCGGCCAGAGCAGTGGCTGGGGCTGAGTGAGCCCCCTGGGGCTGGCACAGCGATGGGGCTGGAGCAGCTGCAAGCCCCAACAACGCTCTGTCCCCGCACCTCTTCTGGGTGTTAAGTCAGGGACGGGTCATGAGTTTCCATGAATTTTTGTTTATTGCCTGCGACCTGTCCCTGACTGTGATCAGGAACAGTCAACATGGATTCACCAAGGGCCTGACCAACCTGATAGTCTTCTATGATGAGATAACTGGCTCTGTGGATACAGGGAAAGCCGTGGATGTGATATATCTTGACTTTAGCAAAGCTTTTGATACGGTCTCCCACAGTATTCTTGCCAGCAAGTTAAAGTAGTATGGATTGGATGAATGGACTATAAGGTGGATAGAAAGCTGGCTAGATTGTCAGGCTCAACGGGTAGTGATCAATGGCTCAATGTCTAGTTGGCAGTTGGTATCAAGCGGAGTGCCCCAGGGATCGGTCCTGGGGCCAGTTTTGTTCAACATCTTTATCAATTATCTGGATGATGGAATTAATTGCACCCTCAGCAAGTTTGCAGATGACACTAAACTGGGGGGAGAGGTAGATACACTGGAGGGTAGGGACAGGGTCCAGAGTGACCTAGACAAATTGGAGGATTGGGCCAAAAGAAATCTGATGAGGTTCAACAAGGACAAGTTGCATCCGAAGAAGTGGGTTGTAGCCCACGAAAGCTTATGCTCTAATAAATTTGTTAGTCTCTAAGGTGCCACAAGTACTCCTGTTCTTTTTGCGGATACAGACTAACACGGCTGCTACTCTGAAAGGACAAGTGCAGAGTCCTGCACTTAGGAAGAATCCCATGCACTGCTACAGGCTGGGGACCAACTGGCTAAGCAGCAGTTCTGCAGAAAAGGACCTGGGGATTATAGTGGATGAGAAGTTGGATATGAGTCAGCAGTGTGCCCTCGTTGCCAAGACGGTCAACAGCATATTGGGCTGTATAAGTAGAAGCATTGCCAGCAGATCGAGGGAAGTGATTATTCCCCTCTATTTGGCACTGGTGAAGCCACACCTGGAGTATTGTGTCCAGTTTTGGTCCCCCGACTACAGAAGGGATGTGGACAAATTGGAGACAGTCCAGCGGAGGGCAACGAAAATGATTAGGGGGCTGGGACTCATGACTTATGAGGGGAGACTGAGGGAACTGGGGTTATTTAGTCTGCAGAAGAGAAGAGTGAGGGGGGACTTGATAGCAGCCTTCAACTACCTGAAGGGGGGTTCCAAAATGGATCTCAGCTGTTCTCAGTGGTGGCAAATGACAGAACAAGGAGCAATGGTCTCAAGTTACAGTGGAGGAGGTCTAGGTTGGATATTAGGAAAAACAATTTCACTAGGAGGGTGGTGAAGCACTGGAATGGGTTACCTAGGGAGGTGGTGGAATCTCCATCCTTGGAGGTTTTTAAGGCCTGGCTTGACAAAGCCCTGGCTGGGATGATTTAGTTGGGTTTGGTCCTGCTTTGAGCAGGGGGTTGGACTAGATGACTTCCTGAGGTCTCTTCCAACCCTAATCTTCTATGATTCTATGATTTACTAAAAATATCCATGACTGAATCTTAACCTTACTGATACGTGCGCTCAGAGTTAACTCCATCTTAATGTAGTTTGTGCCAGAGACTTTCCTTTTAAATAAAAATGTCACACATGAATCCTGAGCAATGCTTTGGAGAGATGATGTATCAACCATTTTTTAAATTTCAACTTTTATGGCCCAATTCAGCAGTACACTCTGACTGGTTTGCCCTCACCCTGGAGCAGCTCAAGGCAGCCAAAGCATACAGGCCAGCTAGCTGTTTTGCCAAAGCAGCCAGAGTGTACATCCCACTTTCGCCCTCCTTCGTCCTGAAAATTCCCCCTCCCTCATCGTCTCCCTGCTATGCAGATAGTACATGATCCTATCGGTAGCTTTTGGAATTAACTATTTAGGATTAATGGTGTTATTTTGCCATTATTTTTCATAACTGAAACTTTATCTGTCAGCTGAGGCTGGTACCTAAAATCTTCTCCTTAACGGTCACTCCCGAAGATTTAGCCTTTTTTCAGAATGGTTGTTGCCTCCCATTGTTCTCAGTGGGACTGAAGTCATGAGCTACCCTCAGTTAAGAGTTCTTTTCAAAATGGCCAGTGCTTCCCATTGTTCCCAGCAAGAGTGAAGCCAAGCTGCCTTCAGGGAAGATGTTGACCACTTATGCTGGCAGCAGGCTGAGGGAAAATCTCTGAGGAGCAGCTGAAGAGAGAGAGCAGCCAAGTTTGCTCAAGGGGTTCTTGTGGCCTTAGTCCTCTGAGAACAAGAGGTGGCAGTAGGGTGACCAGATGAGAGGAAGAAAATATCGGGACACATGGGGGGGGGAGGGGTCCGCCAGCAGAGCAAAAAAAAAAAAAAAGCCGAGTGCTGCAGGCGGAGCAAAAAAAAACAACAACCAAAAACCAGCAGTGCTGCCGGTGGAGCGAAATATCAGGACAAATTGCGTCCCGACCCAAGATCGGTTGGGACGCGGGACAAACACCTAAATATCGGGACGTCTGGTCACCCTAGGTGGCAGTCATTTTAAAAGTGCAGTTCTACTCTGAATTCTCTGTAGTAAAATATTCTTCAGCCTCAGCTGTAGAAGAAACTTTTGGTTTTGAGGAGTGACAGGGAAAAATGACTACTAATCCTAAATGAAAAATTCTTCATATGCCACCTACAGACAAGATTAGTGAGTTTTAACTATATGGGAAGTTTGAGACATCTGTTTCATTCCTTAAGGCCATGGGAGGGGCAGGGAGGAAGGAGGTCTGACATACTCTAGATTTCTTGAAGACCCATTTTAAAATTAATTTTAATTGCTATACTAAGCAATGGATTTACTTGTAAATTCTCAGAAAATTCATTCTATGCTCAAAGAGTAAGAGCTGTAATTTTGGGAAGAATAATGCTCTATTTTCCATACATAACAAAGAGGCCTAAGCCCTCTTTTAAGTGCAAAATTCAACTCAAACACAATGACAGCTCTGCAACTGTTGCCTCCAGAACACTGCCTAGTTCAACTGAGATGCCAAGTTATATTATCCAGCCCACTATGAGGCCAACATTTCCCATAATGTATGCATGAATGTGCACTGCGCACCCCACCCCAGTCCCTTCACACAGACACATTGAAGAGAAACTATTACACCCATTGGTCAAGAAACATTTAACTCTATTTGGCCAAGAAAGTAACATATACAAGAAATACATTTCCATAAAAAAATAACTACCCTCGGACTTCAGAGGCAGGATCACCCCAACCTCTATGCTTTTTATTACCACCGAGTTCTAGAGGAGATGCTAGTACAGCATGGCTATTCCGAGCTATTGCTGTGTTACACAGTGAAAGTCTGAGCCTGGTTCTGAAATGTGAGCTGGAGGTCATATTACATACAAAAATGTATGAAAAAATACGGATTTTAAATAAAGAACTATCACAATTAAGCTTTTTACAATACATTCTGGCTGAGATTTCCAAAGTAGTCTAGGAACAGAGACACATCTTCCACGAAAATTTGCCTAGATTAATTTGAAAATCTCATGCCATGTGTCTTCCAAGGGCCACCCCACTCCGCTGACTCTTTCTTCAGGTAACTCCTTTCCTGGTGAGATCAGTCCAAAGTACCTAGAAATTCAAAAGGAAATTCAAAAGGGGCACAGGCAGACAGCACAAGTAGACATGAACAAACAGTGGAACCTAGTTTGCAAGCAACCAAGGGAAGATGATGTAATTTATCAAAGCTTAACCAGATTACAAAATTCTAAGAACAAATCTCCCTGAAAGGTATTTCATTGCTGATGTTCCACTCAAGTCAGTGTTTTGAATGCTGAATTTCAAGTGTTACCAAGACAAGTGGCACATTTCTAGTTGGGCCATTAGCTGTTACTAAACTGAAGTCAAAACCGAAAAATCTGCAAATGATTGATTTGAATGCTCTCCCTGTCGATATGGAGACAATGTCTGCAAAAAATTAAAACAAAATTAAACCAACCAGAAACTCACCTTCCAGAAAAGCAAATTCATCAATAGCTTCAATGGCATTATCTGTAAAACAAAGTGAATTGAAAACAATTGGCATAGATAAACAAATTCAAGTGCAGAGATATTTTAAACACATCAACATGATTTTAACCATGACTTTTTTTAAAATAGGTTTATAAATTTTGGAGACTACGAGGGGAATATTTTACAATGTAATATTTGGCCTTCTTACCCAAGTCTTTCCTTTGCAGAGTTTTCCTTTTTCCTTGCTGAGCATACACATAAGCATCTTTAGCTATGGTTTCAACAAACAACTCCTGCAGGATGGAAGAGACAGATTGTTACAACAAGGGAAAGGTGTGACTGCAATCTGTTGTTACAAGTAGACAGGACAGTTGAGCTCTGAAGGATTAAAGGAAAAAATTACACCCTCTCCCCCTTTCGATGCTCCCTTTCCTCTGATCAGCTCTAAGAATGTTCAATGAAACCTTTAAACTAGACAATTACTGCATATCAGGGACAAGTGTTATTAGGGTGCCGGGGGGGGCTTTAGAGGTCCCTGTGTATATCTGGAGGTGAGGGAAGGGAGTGTGAGTCCTGCTTTTCTCCTCTCTCAAAACATACACTTGAACATGCAACATACTTTTCTGATTCTGTGAACCAGTTATCCACTTTCACGGATTACTGAGGCCCATGGTTCATATTCTTACCCCAAGACCTGCAACGTGCAAAGAGATTTCTTTGGCAACCACGTCTTGGCTCCCAAGTATCAGCAATACTCTAGATCACAGCAAATTATGTCAAAACATGCCTTTGCCCTTAAGGAGATGACCAATTTTAGGAAAGGACAACTCCATTCAGGGCTAATTATGACACTCGATTTGAGCTTAGCAGGCTTTGCTATCCAAGGTAAGTATTTGTCAGGGATACCAGCTACCAACTGCCCATCACTCACCTTCTGAGTGCCAATCATATCTGCACTACTTTCAATGGACAATGTAGAATAACCTACCTATAAGTACCTCCACCTACCACCAAATGAGCTTCTTAGTTGCAGCAAGTAAATACATCCTGTCCTGTGCCCTGAAGGACATGAAACTCAGGCTCTGACTGATCAGAAGAGGGAACAAATTCCACAGCTGGACACTCTCCACTGCCCAGACACCAGACCACAAGAGCACCACTGGAACGGAGAGCAAGAGTAGCTCAGCTGATCTCATCAGGACACAGAGAGACAAATGGTCTTTCTAGTAACTATGATACAGGCCATTTACAGCTTACCGATCAGGACACTTGGAACTGCAACCAGAAGCAATCTGGAATCGAGTGGAGAGCAGAGGTGTAGAGTGCTCACATCAGTCTGATGTACTAAGAAAGTGGGTTGCCACATTCTGCACTAGCTAAAGCTCCGAAGTGCTCTTCCAGGATAGCTTTGAGAACATTATAGCAATTCTGTGTCCAGATGATAAAGGATTCCTGCAGCAAAGTCTGCAACCTCTTAGACAGCACTTATAGCCACCACTATTATCTCAATTACAAGAGCTGGAGGTTGTGGAATTCTTTGACAAAGGGCAGACATGCACCTTTAACAGAGGGAATAAACAACCTCCTACCAACTCTCCAGATTCTTCTCTCTTCCAGCATCCTTACCATCTCTTCCAGCCTTACCCAACTCATGATCATCCAGGTCCCTATATTGGCCAAAGAAGGCAATGCAGAGGTAGCAGAACCTGTTATAGGGAGATGACAGAACACAGGACCTTCAGCAAACTGAGCTGCTGAAGCATTTTGGGCTTCTACAATTTCCCTTAGTGGTTTCACAAACACTAAACAGCAAGACTGTTGTGCTCTAAAAAGAGAAAGTTTGAGACAAGGTTGTAACTGACAAGGCAAATAATAGGGAGTGGCAATTTTCTGAGCAAGGTTATAAGCACTGCTTTTTAAGGAGAGCTTTATCTTGCTCTCTTAAAAGATGCACCCACTATCCTGTTCAATGTTAGATTGGCCAGCTCCCCGCTGGCTGGCAGGAGTCCATCTGACAGGTTGTCATACACTGTCCCCCAGCACACACAGGTGACGTTCAGCTTCAACACTGCAAGTGTGAAACCTAGCAAATCTGCCTCAGGTCTTCTGATCCAATCAGCAAATGGAAACTTCTCATAAAACAAACCCTTAAATGATTGCACCTTTATGGGTACATGTAAAGAGATTTTTATTCTCTTCTGCCACTTTTTCCATGACATAGGAATGCAGAATTTTTATATGCTAGTTAGATTCAGAGGAAGCTGATCACCAATGGCCTTCAAGTCAAATTATCTGCCCTAAACCATGGTAACCTGCAACGACAATCCAGGAAGTGAGAAAAGTACAGGATACTCTGGGGGTGGGCAAACTATAGCCCGGGGGCTGCATCTGGCCCTCCAGACGTTTTAATCCGGCTCTTGTGCTCCCACCAGGGAGCGGGGTCCGGGGGCTTGCCCTACTCCGCACAGCTCCCAGAAGCAGTGGCATGTCCCCCCCTACGGCTCCTACACGTAGGGGCAGCCAAGGGGCTCTGCATGCTGCCCCTACAGCTCCCACTGGCTGGGAACCATGGCCAATGGGAGCTGCAGGGGCGGCGCCTGCGGACAGGGCAGTGCGCAGAGCCGCCTGGCTGCGCCTCCATGTAGGAGGCGGAGGGGGGGGCATGCCGCTGCTTCTGGGAGCTGCTTGAGGTAAGCGCCGCCCGGAGCCTGCACTTCAACCCCCTGCCCCAGCCCTGATCTCCCTCCCGCTCTTAGTCCCAGCCCGAAGCACCCTCCTGCACCCCCAATCCCTCATCCTCAGCCCCACCCCAGCACCCGCACTACCAGCCGGAGCCCTCACCCCCTCCTGCACCCCAACCCCCAATTTTGTGAGCATTCATGGCCCGCCATACAATTTCCATACCCAGATGTGGCCCTTGGGCCAAAAAGTTTGCCCACCCCTGGGCTATTCCGTCAGCTGGGAAGAATAAGTGACATTAACAAAATGAAGGAAGCTAATAGACAAGATGAGTTAAACAGGATAATTAGTGAGGTTAACTGTGAAAGAGAGCTGGAAGGGCCCTGGAAGAGACCATAATAAAGCCACACAAGTCTCAGCACCAATCTAAATGAAAAAGTCTCACAACCAAGATGGAAAATGGACTGACTATTGAATGAAAGCGGAAGCCAGATTATACAGTCAAAATCTCTGCAAAAGGGCTGTCGGAGATATTTCTCCCCAACGGGAGCTAGTGACTGAATGAAACATTCTAAGGGTCCTACAGGGCAATTCATTCACATGCTCATTTTAGAGGTGGCCTAGAGCCACCCCACCCAAGCAGAATTGCTCCTGGAATTCCCCAGGACAGAGGAGTGCACACTGCACCACTCCGTGGGATGCTTCCCCGCTCTGTATCCACACAGCTCTGATGGCAGCTGCAGAAGAGGTACTGAGTCACGCCCTGCCTACTCCTCATCACCTTTGGGTTAGTTTGCCTCTAGGGGATGCTAAGAAGGAAGTTATCTTAGCTCTTGCCTACATTAACAAACTGGTCTCTTACTGCTCTGCTCCCTAACAATTCCTAACCATGTCTCTGACAACTGCCTCCTGCCTTTAATGCTCCCCCTATGCGTGGAATGACCTCCCTAGTCTGGTCTGTCAAGCTACCATTCTCTTGCCATTCAAATCCATCATAATGGCTCACTTCTTCCACAATGCCCAAGAAGGAAGTTAACATTAACACATTTTAAAAAAAATCCTAGTCATTCACTCTTCTGTTGTTCTCAAAGCATCCTATCTTCTCTGTGTCTCTTGTTTAAACAGTAATCTCCCTGGAGTAGAGACTGTCTGAGCTCGGTGTTCCATAAAGTGCTGAGCACACAGGCAGCAGTTAAATAATAATAAATAAGCCATAGCCTACAGCCACAGACTTCTTGTCAGATTAACGAACATCACAAGTCAGTATCTGGGGCATTGAAAGTCCCTTCCCCTGCTTCTTGTAGGATGACAGCCTCCTCACTGGATCATGCCCAGAGTTAACGTCAAACCTTAATCCTCCACTGCATCTATCATCTCAGAGTCATGTTCCTCTGAGACCCAATATTGCTGCTAGTAACAGGCAAACAGTGACAGGGGAAGCTGTACAACCTAAACAGGTTATTTTCAGTTTTGCTTTGCCATAAAATAAGAGGCATGGACAGAGCCCATGTTGTGGCACCATCCAAACTCTAGGAGGCTGTTGTGGGGTAGAGGCAGGAAGAGACGAAGGAGATTTTTTTAAGAGAGTCTCATTTTACATTGCAACCAGAGACGTTTACTTCAGTTTCAAATTATATATGAAAAGTTCTTCCAGGGGACGTTTCCCTGAAATGCAGCTGCGTGTTAGCAGGATCAGGCTCTGATCTTTGACTAAGCACCTCTTGAATACTCAAGGGTTTCAGAACAGTCTGGCATCTCTGATTTGGTCTTGTGTATGCTGAGACAGTGGAGAGAACTGTGCTAATTCATGCCAATAACTGGAAAGACTTGCTGCGAATAACTGATCACTGTCATCAATTTGCAAAATCAATCTCAATTGAAAAAGCAAAGATTCTGTACCTTAAAGCGTATTTCTCTCTACTTATTTTGAGAGGATGTTTACAATACTTGGGCATATGCTAGTAAGTGTTCTGTAGCGTTCTGTAAAAGTAAAAAAGTTTCAATAATCAGCGATCTCACTGCTGCCTATAGGTAAATCATACGTGGAAGTGACCATTTTGTGTGTGAATTATACAGTGCAGATTAATAACACCACCTAGCTTTTATCTAGCACTTTTTGTCAGTATGCCTCAAAGCACTTTACAAACGAGATCAGTGTCATTATCCCCATTTTACAGATGGAGAAACTGAGTCACAGAGAAGTGAAGTGATTTGCTCAAGATCATCCAACAGAGCAGTGGCTGAGCTGGAGCCTAGTGGTCTGTCCACTGGGCTAGACACGGAGATTATGATGGGCTGGCTCTTTGTTGCTTGTGCATGAAAGCAAGCAATAATCTGAAATGGACAAGGATCTGGGGGTTACAGTGGGTCACAAATTGAATATGAGCCAATGTTATGATGCAATTGTGAGAAAGGCTAATATCACTCTGGGGTATATTAACAGGAGTGTCGTATGTCAGACATAGGAGGTAACTGTCCTACTCTACTCAACACTGGTGAGGCCTCAGCCGGAGTCCTGCGGCCAGTTTTGGGCACTACATGTTAGGAAAGACATGGACAAACTGGAGAGAGTCTAGAGGAGAGCTACAAAAATGATAAAAAGTTTAGCAAACTTATCCTATGAGGAAAGATTAAAAAAACTGGGCATGTGGGAAAAGGCTGAGAGGGGACCTGACGAGAGTCTTCAAATAAAAGAACAGGAGTCCTTGTGGCACCTTAGAGACTAACACATTTATTTGAGCATAAGCTTT